TGTGTGTGTGTGTGTGTGTGTGTTTAAAACCCATTGCTTTTATTCCCCAGGACTTTGAAAGATGAGGTTTGTTACTCACCCAGCTGTCAGCACTAAAATGCATATTCCCAAGACATCCAGATTGGTAAATGCCACCTGGCTGACTATTATTTTGTAGCCTGTCCAGAAATGCATTATTCACCCTTAGAAATACAAGCAGGAAAATGAATGTTAACAGAATGTTGCCAAAAAGCCAAGATTAGGAAGCAGTATGCAACATACAAGCTCGAATGGATTTCTGCAACAGGAAAAGACAACGGTGTAGGTAAGGTAGGCAGGTTCAAACCTATTTTTTTCTTAAAATAGAACCTATTTATTAGAAATCTTAAAAAGAGATTAGAAATTTATATTAAAAATGTCATTTGAAATGGCATTGTACCATTGTATGTATTAGAACTATTAAAAAAGTTCTAATAGAACTATATGGCCAAGTGCCTCCTTCCAGTTAGGTCTGTCCGCCCTATAAGATCGTCGCAGGCAGGGCAGCTGCGAGTTCTGACCCCGAGAGAGGCCTGGAAAACAATTACTAGAAATCGGGCCTTTTTGATGATAGCACCACAATTATGGAACTCTCTTCCGCCCGAAATTCGCCTGGCCCCTTCACTGGGCACAAAGAGCTACTACAAAACTGGCTATTTAGACAAGCCTTCCCTGAACAAACTACACTTTGATACAATAGTGTCCAATAATATAACTTCTATCATACTGCTATACTTCATGTTTTTGTATTTTTCTACGCTTTTAATTTATTTATTATATTGTAATTTTATCCTCACTGTACTTTATGATTTTTTATTTTCTCCCCTATGTATTGATGATGTTATTTGCTATTTTGTTACTTTGTTGTTTTATGTTATTTGTTGTAAACTGCCCAGGGTGGCCTTGGCTGCTAGATGGGCGGTATATTAAATAAATAAAATAAATAAATAAATAAATAAATACATAAAATCACTTTGCATTTTCATTGATGAATAAATGTTTATAAAGGTGTTATGTAAATACTATTACAAGTAGGAGTGCACTGTGACTTCAAAATGGTGCTGGACTCAGTCATACAATTTCCCATCAGATTAATGAAAGTCTAATTATTCATACATACAGTACAACATCCCCTGAAGCTGACAATGCAGTTGAAGGAGATCTGCAGCTACAAGACAATGGTGACTGTTTCCCTGGCTCCTGTACAACTCAACCAGACTTCCCACAGAGAGTTTGAGAACCAGTGTCACGGGAATCAGGAACAGAGTAACAGAATGGAACATTCACCTCACCACCATGCAAACATCATCTTCATTTTAAAATCTCTATCCCACATACAGATCTGTAAGCCGAGAAGTGGGAATGACAGTCCTTAAAGGAGCTGAATACAGAGACTTACATGACAACTGACCACTGATTTTTAAACCAAGACAGCTTTCATGCTGACATTAAAGATTTCCATGAACATTCAAGTCAGGATAGGCAACATGAAGCATGTGGTCACTAAGAGCCCAAAGACAACATCCCCTGCACACATGCCAAATTCGGGGGGGGGGGGGTTTGTTTCACTTAAAAATCTCCCTTCTGCCTTAAGAGGGGGCATGGGGGAGGGCAATATTTCCATGTTATGAAACCCTCAGCATACCCACCACAAAAACAACAGCAACACTTTTTTAAAAGGCCACTAAAGAGTACAAGACTTTTTACTCAGTGAGTTATCTATTTTTATATGAAAAAAATGGGAGGATCAAAGATGGCCGCCCACCCCTGTTCTAAGGAAATCGGGTGTTTGAGTATGTTCCACACTCCCTTTCATTAATTTTACCTCCGCTGCTCATTCTGATGTGCTTCTATTCTCATTCTCTCCTCTTGTCTTTGTTTAAGTGCCAGTAATTCAGCCTGAGAACAATAAAAATCAAAAACCTGTAAAATCATGTTAAACATAATTAAGTACAATGCAAAAATTAATTACATGTGGTAATGAACCAGTGTAATATGTCATCTCGAAGAGCTGCTTACCTTTTTTCTGTGAGAAGTACATTTTTGATGTAATACATACTCTATAGACTATATTAAGACAGAGATAGTTAATTTGAAGCAAAAAGGATATTTTAGACCACAAGTTCAAATCATAGAGGTTGAAAAGTTGAGGCAGATGAATGGCTACAGGAAACACTCATTGTATTATATTATTGTGCTAAATTAGGATACAGGATTCCCAGTGTGGTGTAGTGAATAGAATGATGGACTAGGACTCTGAAGAACAGGGTTCAAATCCCCACTTGGCCATGAAAACCCACTGGTGTGTTTGTGTGTGTTTGTGTGTGTGTGTGTGTGTGTGTGTGTGTAACTGGATGCATCACTCCTTAAATATCACACTGTGAAAGCCATATTTTCTCTTTTAAAATTTTTATTCTTTTCAATGGAGGTAGGATTTTGGGTAAGGTGATTTAAGGTTAGGGGGGTAGGTATGGATAAGAAAAGGGTAAAATTCCAGAAAGTGAGACAGTACATTTCTTATACTAGAAAGAGAGATGAAAAGAAAAACAGCACATTTTCCAGTATTACTATATTTACTAATCTATCTTTTCCTTAGTTGGACCTTCACATTCTTCTTTCGTCTGTGCTTTCCAGGCTACCTTTCTAGTCTAATTATGAAATTATTCCCTATATATCCACCAAACATAATAAAAGTCTCCTCCTGTGTTTTATATTTCCCACACTATTTAAATACAGTTTTATATCTTTTAAAAAAAATTGTTAGCATTGTGTACCATCAGTAAATCATATATCATCTATAAAACATCTTATCTGTATTTTCTTTAATAGTTACTGATTTTTGATCATTAATATTCTTCTACTATTTTATACCCATTATATCCTACAGTCTTTAAACATTTTATTCATTTAGTCTACTTTTATTGTTAAGGTGTTCTTTCCTCCTCCTGGATACTCTTATTTCTATAGTGCACCTTCCTTTAGAGCTTCTTGCTTTTAAATTTTCCAGCCACTTCTTTGTTTTCATAAAATATTCTGCCTTTCTTTTTGAGTTAATATAACTCTGCTCCTGGAATTCAAAGAGGACACCTCCAGGCACCAACCACTTATACATTATTGAATCTGATCTCAGGAGAGAGGTCAACTCTGCATATAGTCTCCTTTTCTGTCTTATTTGCCACAGAATATGTTTCAAGATCTTAATTTGTGTATATTTTCTATTACGTTCATTGCCTTGTATATTTCTCAGAACTTCATCTCGAAATATCTTTCTCGTAAATTTATCATGAATTTCTCTGAGGAGATTTTTATTCCTGGTCTATGCTGTGTCTATATTGTGTTCAACGTCCTCTGGTTGCATCTCCAGGAGCGATGCTAAATAAGTAGTAATGTATCTTGCACTGTATCTTCTCCTTTTTGTTCTGGTAGATTCTGGAATCTAAGCATGGCATTGGCTCTTTCTATTTGTAGATTTAACCGAGTAATTTCACCTTGCTTGCTTTCCTGTTTTATGTCTCCCATCTTTGCATACAAGGTCTCCAGTCTTGCTTCCATTCTTTTTGATGTTTCATCTAGTTTGGCTATTTGTCTTTTATTATCAGTCATTTGCAACCCTAAATATTTCATTTGAACACATAGCTAAACCATCCCTCCTTGTATTTGCTGTAGCCCTGTTGATAACATCTCCTGAATACTCAGTTGCCAGTCCTTAAATGATTCTTGCCCCAATATCCCACTGAGATTCTGTTCCTGTGCCGGTGATCCTCCTTGAGTTCTCTTTTTTTCAATTTCTGTCACCATATTGATCCCCCCCTTCTTCTTAAGTAAATAGGGGATCCTGTTTAAGTCTTCTATCAGCAGATGGTTTTCCTTTTCTTTAAGGAGTGCTGTTTAAATCTTCTATCAGCAGATGTCGCTGTAACCTTACTTTCCTTTCTCAGTCATATATACATGACCGATCCAAGAGGGGTGGGGGTAGAGCTTCCCTCTGGGTATAAAGTTCTCATAGTCACCAAATCACAACAATAAAAATCTAAAGGATCTGCAGTGTTTTGAAGTAAGTAGGATTTAATATCGATATTTCAGATAGTCATGGGAGCAATGCTTTTATCTTAAATTGCTCTACTTTCGTGGCAAGGTAGTTTTCTCCCCCTTCTCCCTTTCTCTCTCCTCTCCTCTTGTTCTTCCGATACAAGCTGGGGGGGGGGACTCACTTCTACTGTGACAGCAAGATTTTTTAAAAGGTAAAGTCCATTTGCTGACTCTATATTTATCTCATTTCTGTATAGTTATTTGGATCCATGGAGATTTTCCTTACATACACAAATATTTTAACTGACTCAGAGTCTCTGGTGGACATATTTCCAACATCATTTTACAGTCTCTCACTCTCTGCCAAGATGGCTTCCTCTTTGGTCCGTGCACTCAGATGCAACTTCGGAGGGGGAACCAGCCTACACCAATCCCATTCTCTCCTTTTGTCATCTCTGCTGCTTCAGACATTGTTTCTCCTAACGACGTCCTCCCTCCCCCAGTTTTGGGGGCAGAACTAAGGGGTCCCAATCAGTTTCAGGAGCTTGCCTGAAACCTGACCAGTTCTTGCCATGATGAAACCCCACCTCTCACCTTGAAAGCCACATTAAGGTCGATCGAAGTTAGTTCCAACTTGACAGCACATGCGCATGCACACACACACAAAAGTTATGATATAGAACCAAGACACTTCTGTAAAATACAGACCTGTCTATGCAATGTCACGCAACACTTAGATTCCTGAAATGCACGTTTCTGCAGAACATAAACTGATGGACAGGGTGGCTTTCTTGAAAGGCCAAAATCTTGATCAGTACAGGGGTCCATGTCTCATTTTGTGCCCATCTTCCTCCAAAAACCCCTATAGATCCTAACTATTCAAGAATACTTCAGTTATCAAAATCTGTCACTGAACAAGTGCCTGAAGGCTACAGGGACAAATATATTATCATACTAATTTGTTCCAGGAAAGCTAATCCACAGATTTCCTTCAACATGGTCACACTGGCTGTGCACTAAAGTAACTGAATTTCAAATTCAGATCAATTCATGCCTTCTTATACCTGACAAGGCCATGTGTTTTGGGTGGACAATATGCAGCAGCCTTGGTTCTCCCAATTCAGATATTTTTCACTGGGAAAAAATTGTGCTTTCTGGAGCATGTGGAGAACAAACTATGCCACATTCTGAAGACTCTCTGTAACTCTGGGTCATCCACATTTCCAGTTGCTGAGCAACTGGGCCCCTGGAATTCAAGTTTTGGGAACCTTTTGTTCACGAAGATTGGAAACCATTTTTAATTCAGTTGGAAGGAAAGGAGAAAGACTATGTTCCAAATGAAGTAAATTGTTTATTTGTTAGTTCCAAAATAAATGTTCAACAGTTGCAACCATGATCAGTGTCCGTGTTTGGAGATCTGGGATTAAGAGAGGAGGGAAGATGACTAGAGAGTCAATCTGAACCCTCACATATTGGCACCCAATGGGATGAGCCATTGCCACAACTGAACCCAGCAGAAACTGGCCGGAAGACATCTTGTCACTAATCTGTGAATGCCCCATGGAAGAGGAGGAGAAAGTAAAGAAGGAAATAATCCTGAATAGAACTCGAAGTAAGTTGCTTGTTTTATATATGGAACTTTGAAGGACTGAAATAATGGAAAAAGTGAGTGTAATTGGTGAGAGAAAGTGACTATATCTGAATGGATGAGTGAGTACTCCCCCCCTTCCTCACTTGAGGCTTGAGAAAGAAAAAGGAAAGGAGGGAGGAAGAAAAGAAGGGGGAGGAAGCATCTTCGCTTCCATGGCTGCAGCACGAGATAACTACTGAGATCCCTGAAGCAACCAGAAAAAGACTTCATGAGGACCAGAGAGAAAGATTCAATTGTAAAATTCACTTGCCCCAGGATATCTATTGTGCCCTACCCTCTGCTGGAAAGAAAGCTAGAAAGAGACTTGTAGAAGTCTGGAGTTCTATGAACTATGGAGCAATCTTCTTTCAAAGCCTGGCAAAGTAGTATGAAAGAATTGTTTGTCTGTGGATTACAACAAATAAACAGATAGATAGATCAGCTCTCTGAACAAATTGAAGACGTTGGGATACAAATGAGATCCACAGGGAAGATGGAGAAAAAACTAGAGGACTGCAAGCAGGACAGGAAGGACTGAGACAGGAAACAAACCATGCTGAAATGAAACTACGAAAATTACAATCAAAGGGAAGACAAGGATACTTTTAGATTCCAGAAACCTCCAGAAAAGAAGAGCGAAGATAATGTACAATGGAGAGTGAATTTGTAAGCCCCTCCTATAGAAAAGTCAGCAGCACAAGGACAGCATATGGTGAACCTACCCAGGAAGGGGTGAGGGTGGCAGATGAGACAAAAGAGTCAGCAAATAAAAAGTAATGTTTCTCTGTCTAGCTTTATAGCAGGCAAAGAGATCCTGAAGAAATTGTTAGTAGATGGCATACTTGGTCTAGTGTTTGTTGATCAGGTGGAGGTATGAAGCATTAGGCAGTTCCAACCTAAAATAGAAGAGCCTCATGTACCGCTGTACTGCAGCCAAAACTATGCTCACGACCTGGGGTTCAATCCCAGATAGCCTGCTCAAGGTTGACTCAGCCTTCTATCCTTCCGAGGTCGGTAAAATGAGTACGCAGCTTGCTGGGGGGGGGGGCAAGGTGTAGCCTGCATAATTAACTTGTAAACCGCCCAGAGAGTGCTTGAAGCACTATGGGGTGGTATATAAGCAGCACACTTTGCTTTGCTTTAAAAATTCCAATAATTGACTATCTTGTTTAATATTTCATGAATATAAAATTTAAAGTTATTATTTGTGAAGCTAGTTATCTCCTTTCTGCAAAATTACTTAGAGGATTAATAATAGTAAATAAATAGCAATACAGTTCTGTCTAGATTTATAAGAGTATGTACATCACTAAGCAGAGTGTATGTCTTGTGATTTTAATATAGCAAGGAGCTGTTGAGCTAGAAAAGAAGGAAGGCAGGTTAAGAAATTTTTGTAGTCGATATAGTTTATCTACTGTTTGTTGAGTATGTGATCAATGGCAGTACTTCGAAGCTAGGCAGGGACAGAATAAGAAAATATAGATAAGATGGAATTTACTTTTAGAGCAGTAATATTATCTTGACTGAAGATGTCCTGACGTATAGCAATCCCATATGATGTAAATGCTAAATAGATTACAGTAAATGACAAAATGGGCACAAAATATTGATTATGATGATGTATTAGAACAATGGATATAAACCCATCAGAATAATATTAAATTATTTTTTAAAAAAGTTAACAGCTAAGGTTGGTAAAGATTATCATCTGGGATGGGTGGTAGAGGCTAGAGTTAATGAAATATCGAAAAAGGCTTTAATTGATACAGGACGTAGCAAAACACTGATATGGGCCTTCCCGGGAGAAAGGCTACTAGATAAGGTTTTGTTACGGTGCGTTCATGGAGACATGAAACCGTATGCATCGGTACAAGCCAAGATCGAAATCGAAGGACAACAGATAGACTTGGGAATCGGGGTAGTCCCAGGATTAGGAAGAGAGACATTGTAGGGGAAAGACTTGCCAGGAATAGAAGAGATGGCTCAAACTGTAGCGGAAGGACAAATTGGGGAGATGGAAGAGCAAACGCCTGAAGAAGAGGTGCTGCATATTTCCCGAGAACAGTTACAAAACTGGCAGCAAGATGATTCAGGAATTGGAGGAAATTAGAAACAAAGCAGTACCCGAAGGGACTATGAAGACAGGAGAACTTAACATGCTCCCAACAAGTCTCCCAACAAGAAATAAAACATCTATTTTAGGACATGTGGTAAAAGTATACAAATCAATTTTTTTTTGTCCAGAAAGCAAGGTAGCCCACATGGCAGGATGTTATAGCTACAAATGTTTGGGACATCTTACTATTTTTTATTTTAATTTGACACAACTATGGGAGGCAGTGGAAGATAGGAGGGCCTGGCGTGCTCTGGTCCATGGGGTCATGAAGAGTTGGACACGACTAAACGACAACGACAATGACTATTTTTTAAACCGTGCAGTCAAGTAATATATTCAAGAGTGAGGGATACTTTCTAAGTATGTCAAAAGCAACTGCTCCAGAAAATGTCCCCAGTACTGCTTCCAAGGCCAGGTCCACAAAGATTCCTAGAAATTATTGTTCATTGGCCTCAGGGTGCAACTGCACAGTGGTGAAAATATGCTTGGATCCACTGTGAACTACAGTTTTTCAAATTGGGTGCGAGTGAAATCACTGTGACCATCCAGACAAGAATTTGCAAGAATCAGTAGGGCAGAGAGTTTTCACGGAATTTCCTAAAAGTAGACGCTGCCTTTGAAAATATGCTAATTGCCAATTTCCACCTTTAAAAAAACTTTTCCTGAAGTGACTTAGTTATACAATATGCTAGTGCTGCCTTGAAAGCCTTTAAAAAAACAACAACACTGTTTGAAGACAACAGGCACTCAGTTGAAGGGAACTGCTACCTCCACAAGGCCTCCTCTGCCATTGGATCAGGCAGTCACACTGGGTAGAAAGTCAACCCAAATGGAGCATATCTAAGCCGTTACCACTAGCTGAACCAAAAAAGATGATTCTCAACTAAAAAGAAATGGTTCCAAAACGGGCTTCTCTGCATTGAGCTTTATATCATTTAGTTGCCAGGTTTTAAATTCTAATTCATTTGTCCCTAATCCATTGAAGATTCTGGGGTATTGGATAATTACTGGCCAGTCTCTAATATTCCACCCTTGGGCAAGGTGCTAGAGTGTATTGTGGCTTCTTAGCTCCAGAGGCTCCTGGAGGAGATGGATTATCTAGATCCATTTCAATCTGGCTTCAAGCCAGGTTATGGGACGGAGACTGCTTTGGTCGCCTTGGTGGATGGCCAACGTTGGGAACTGGACGGGAGGAGGGTGTCCCTCTTGGTTCTGCTGTTTTCAATGCCATCGACCATGGTATCCTTCTGGGCCATTTCCCTGGGATGTGACTAGGGGGCACTGGGGGATTACTTTTCAACACCCTGGCCATTGGCCTATGGTGTCCCTTAGGGTTCTGTTTTGGCCCTTATGCTATTTAACATCTACATGAAACTGCTGGGAGAGATTATCTGGGGTTTCAGTCTCTACAGTACATGGATGACACCCAACTCTATATTTCCTTTCTATCTAAATCTGAGGAAGCTGTTTCAGCCCTAGATCAGTGTCTAGTGTCAATAATGGACTGGGTGAGGGTGAATAAACTGAATATTAGCCTGGAGAAGTCAGAAGTGCTCCTGAACAGTTGAAAGGCAGATCAGGAAATAGGATTCAGCCTGTGCTGGATCGGATTATACTCCTTCTGAAAACACAGGGGTGCTCCTGGATTCATCTCTGAGCCTGGATACCGAGATTTCAGTGGTAGCCAGGAGCACGTTTGCATAGTTAAAAGCTAGCTGTGCTCACTTCTTGAGAGGTCTGATTTCACCATGGGGACACAAGCCCAAGTTACATTTCGGCTGGTTACTGTAACATGCTCTACATGGGGTTGCCTCTGGAAAGTGTTTAGAAACTTCAGAGGGTCCAAAATGCCGCAACAAAATTGTTAATTGGGGCTGGTTATAGGAAACATATAACTTTCCTATTATAACAACTCCATTGGCTACCAATCCATTTCCAGGCACAATTCAAAGTGCTGGTTTTAACCTATAAAGCCTTAAAAGGCTTTGGTGAAAGTTATATAAAATAGTGCATCTCCCTCTATGAGCCCACCCAGGCATTAAGATAATCAGGGGAGACCTTTATCTCAGTCCCACCACCCTCACAAGCGTGATTGGTGGGAACACAGGAGAGGGCCTCCAAGACTCTGGAATGCCCTCCCATGGAAGGCCAGCCTATCTTTGCTGTCTTTCTGCAAGAAGGCAAATACCTTTGTCTTCAGACATGCCATTCCTTAGTGGCTGGCAGTCTGAGAGGGGCTTTTCAAACTGGATTGTTGTGCTCTGTTTCTTTTAAATGTGTTTTTACTATTGATTTCATTTACATTTTGATATGATAGTTGTTTAATTCTTTTAAAATATTTGTATATTTACTGTTTTTAGCTTTTAAATATTGTCCTTTTAATGATGTGAGTCGCCTTCAGAGAAAAGCGGGATGAGAATATTTTAAACAAACAAACATAGTCATATCCTAACTTTAAGAACTATAATGTGCATGAACAGCCTTTCTACTATTACAGACAAACTTGCTAACAAAACAAAAAGGGGACGTTCAACCTGTATCAAAGGAAACAGCAAACATATAAAATATTCTGACCCTGAAGCTGTGGTTTATTCCATATGAATATGACATTTTTATAGGTAAGATTTGACAGCTAAAGCAGCTAAGCAAAATACTGAAATCGCATGCTAAGTTTGGCTGTTTCTCACCTTTTTTCGCTGCTCTTCCTTCATCCTCTGCAGTATTCTGTTTTCTTCCTGCCTTTGTATCTGCCTATGTGCATGGCTCCTGGCCTATTGCAAATAAAGAAAACTTGTTAAATAGACGCTGGGCATTTATCCTCCCGATTTACACAGTTTATCTTATAACTAAATAATTGGTGAGATAGCTTCTGTACGCCTGCCAGCCATACAGGTAAAGCTTTTACTTCCAAGCTTCCATGACACAATTTATCAAATCTGTGGCTTTTTACACTGTTCATAGAGAAATTATTTCTCAGAGCAGAAGGTGTGATGGAAGGTATATCATTGCTGTGGTAGTTAAACATTCTTTCCCCACTGCAGTAGTAAAAATTCTGGTTCAATTCCTCTGGCAGGTCCAATCCTTTTGAGTACCTGAGAGGGAAAGAAAATACCACCAACGCACACAAAATTGTCCTTATATTATAAGGTTGGGTTTTATTGGAAATAACTGGTAGGCTAGGAGAGGAATGGGGCAACAATCCAAATCATCCTGTCTTAACAGCGTAAATAGAAAAGGATACTTTGATGGGATCTTTATCCCATAACAAGCAGCGATCACAAGACCATATGTCTCAACCTCTTGAACAGTTTGCACACAAATTGTTCTGTAATAACGTTTTACTGATGGTATGTTTTCAGCCTTATGACCAGTTGTGACATATTCATACAAACATCAGGACTACACTGATTACATGATTATTTGGATAGAAAGTGGGGTACGATACGTACAATAGATGTTTTAGCCTCCTTGTGGTGTATTTCAACAGGTCTGTGAAAGTGTGTTTGGGGCACTTATCTTGTAAGAAAGGAATATGTCAGAGAGAATTTCTAGTGAATGGGCTTATTTATGTTAGCCCATTTGCAGTGAGTAACATAAAGTACAGCACACATATTTCAAAGAAAAAGATGAAAAATCAATCTTAGATCAAGGAATTGGTGGTGAGAACCTCTGGATTTTTAGTGAATCAAACAGGATTGGGATTGATTTTCTGATGGTTTGACAAGGTGGCCTATACAGCTTACAGAAAGGGAAACGCATACTGAATGTCCCCCCACAAAATATTACCTGGGATCTGGATGCCATTCAGAATGCCCTAGACAATATTAGCATCCAGAACTCCTGGGTGGCCCAGTGGCTTAGGCATCAGGCTGCAGAGCCAGACATTGGGACTTTTGATTCCTGCACCACTGCCACCATTTTATTCCCACTTTTAAATAGATTTTGCAAGCTGCGTTGGGAAGCAATGAAAATATACTGTACAATGAAAACTCACGAGTGAAAAATAAATCTTCATTAATTGAAATCTTACATGAATTTATCTTATTAATGACCTGCTAGATTGTTAATAAAGACACATATTGTATGTAACTTTCATTTCACCAGCATCAGACTCTACCTTTTCTCTTGAAATATACAGGTATATGTGCCTAACTAGAAATGTTTATAGCATACAGGTACACTTTAGGTAAAAGTCATGTCCAACTCCAAGGCGCGGTGCTCATCACTGTTTCCAAGCCGTAGAGCCAGCGTTTGTCCAAACACAATTTCCGTGATCATGTGCCCCCCAAAACATTGGACTAGACACGGAAGGCTGTTACCTTCCCACCGAGGTGGTACCTATTTATCTACTTGCATTTACATGCTTTCGAACTGCTAGATTGGCAGGAGCTGGGACAAAGCGACTGCAGCTCACTCTGTTGCATGGATTCGATCTTACGACTGCTTGTCTTCTGACCCTGCAGCACAGAGGCTTTTGTGGTTTAACCCACAGCGCCACCACATCCCTGATACACTTTACCCAGTTGGAAAAATAAAAAATACGACAATATAGAAAAATACAGAAACATTACAAAAAGTTGTGCATTAAAATAAACTGGATTTCCATATGGGAAGAAAAAAAAGTAATGCAATTCAGTATGGATTTTGGGCAAGATGCTGGTAGGAGTCTGAGAATCACAACGGAAAGACATGATTACATTCTGCTGAAGACTTGGGAGAGGGATGACTGCCTGCACCATGAACCACATGAAAGTTTCCCTCATGTCATCTTCAGCTTGCCCAGTCTGAGTTGCGATTTGAAGATGCCCTAGATCTGTAAATCAAGATCTTCTTACTCCAGAATGGGAGACCGGGGGTGGGGGTGGGGAAGTGTTTTTTGGTATTTCTGTTCTACAACCCTTTGTCTTCAGGCATAGAAAGGAAAAATAGAATAGTCCAACCATGAGCAAAAAAAATAAGACTAAGTTAATACAGCATAGTTTTTGCACAAAGCAAATCAAAACAATAGGGATTGCATATGACTTGTGTTCTGTAGATTGCATCAAAGTGTAATCAGTTATTTGTGATTAGCTGGCAAAGATAAAGTATAAGAATCCAAGGAATAACTTGAAAACAGCTGAAGAAAATTGATGTTCAGGGATAGTTTTGTTTAATAGTTCAACAGCACATAGCTGCTGACAAGATCACTTTTTCTCAGCGGGAGTTCAAGAATCTATTAGCATTCATAGATCCTGAAGGAGAATGAAAGGGTAACATATACAGCCTCCAAATGGTATTTATGACTTTGAAGTGAGAATATTTTGATTTCTAAAGCCTATGTTTTGGAAGAGTTTCAAAATGCACACAGCTCAAGATTTAGCCATCAGTGCCAGAAACAATTTATGCTTTGCCAATCAATACTATATATTTTCCAAGTAGCAATATTTAGCAGGTTTGAGGATTTCATCTTAAAATATGGAAGTCAGGTTTGACCATTGAAATAAATTGCAAAAGAGTGCATTCACTTGAAAACTCAACATTTAACATTGAAAATAAAGCTTGATAATGTATAAATAAAAGTCATTGTTAATTCCAGGCCTATCTTTCCTTATTCACTGTGACAAAGTAACCTAAGCCTATAAAAGCTATTGTCTAATAAATTAAAGAGACCCAAATTACATTTACTTTGAGCGCCAGTATGAATGAATCTCCACAGTGAATAAGTAAAGGTGGATCAGTTTCATATTTGTAATGCTGGCAGTTACTTAGCTGATAGCAGAAAACAAAAACAGGAACCTGCCATCTCTCACTCACTCACTCACAAAACCCTCAACTAAAAACAAACTTACCCAGGCTGTTGATTCCAGGCTACTGTGCTCTGTTTCACAGGATGTTCTTTTGGATGAGCCCCTGTCCAATCTATTCAAAAATTTAGTGGTTTGTCTGTGAAATGAACATAAACACAAATGAGAGATGGGGAACAATACTTTTAATTTTACTCTGGTTTTTAGACATCCATCCTGGACTAGATATAAAAGTCACCAGAAGTGTTATGTCACAGAAAAAGCACTCACTATTGTAGCGTATTGCATTGCATCATACTGTACTGTATTCACACTGTATGCTGCCTTTCTTCACACAGGGGACACAGGACAGCTTGCAATCAGAGATGGGGGCTTTGTATTCATATACAAATAAGAAGCCCACTAGCACAGCTTGATGAACACCCACCCTAAGACCCCGCTAGACCACCTACCATGTGGCCAGTGATGCACATGGCCAGCATCATCTTCTGCGCTCGCCCCAATCACATCAGTAGCTCAGCTGCTGCAGCCCCACCTCCCTGCTTGCACAGCCACTCCAGCAAAGGGGCAGGAGTATGATTCTCCTTGTTCAGCCGCAGAGCGGTTTGGGTGAGCAGGGAAATGAGGCTCTGGAAGCCAAGCTACTGCTGTGATTGGGGTGCAAAAGATGATGCTGGCCACATGCATTGCGTAGAAAGTCATCCGGCAGGGTCTGGAGGTGGGTGTTCATCAAGTCGGCTGCCTGTACCAGTGGGCTACGTATTACATGATAAACACAATTACAAACATAATAAGGAATAGTATTAAAACAATTAAACAACAATATTAGAATCCAATTTAAAAACTATTCAGTAGAAATGGCTTCCTTATCTTGGGTGAGTCAATTAAAAAGCTGCCTAAAAAGGAAGATCTGTGCCTGCTAATGGAAGGACAAGACAGAGGATGGAAACCTGAGGAGGAGATTCCCCAACTTGGGGGCAGTCACTGAACATAAAACCGGTTTGCAGCCCCACCAAACCAAGCCTGTAAGTGCAACAGGACCAAGAGAAAGGCCTCACACAGAAATCTTTAAAGCCACAGAGGCTCATATGAGGTGATATAGTCCTTCAGATAGCTTGAACTCAGCCTGTTGTGGAATGGTATAATAATGAGCATAACGCCACAGAGGCTCATATAAGGTGATATAGTTCTTTAGATAGCTTGAACTCAGCCTGTACAGAATGGTATAATAATGAGCACTCTGAATTGGGCCTGGAAATAACTAGTAGACAGTGAAGCTGTTGCATAAGGTATCTACACTATAAAGCAGATCTCTGCAAAGTTCCTCTTTACAGAGATCTGCTTGTAGTCTCAAGATTAGACTACTGTAATGCGCCCTGTGTGGGGCTACCTTTGAGACTGATGCAGAAGCCTCAAATGGTGCAGAACGTGGAAGCTAGACTTCTCATTGGGATAAGAAAACATAAGCATATCTCCCCTACTTTGGCTGCCCTGCATTGGCTGCTCGTTCATTTCCACATTGATTTCAAAGTATTAATAATGACATATAAAGCCCTAAACAGTTTAGGACCTCAATATCTAGTGGAACACCTTCTTCCACCTAGGTAAAGGTTCCCCTTGACAATTTTTGTCCAGTTGTGTTCGACTCTAGGGGGCGTTACTCATCCCCATTTCTAAGCCATAGAGCCAGTGTTTGTCTGAAGACAATCTTCCGTGGTCACATGGCCAGTGCGATTTAGACACGGAACGCTGTTACCTTCCCACCGAGGTGGTCCCTATTTATCTACTCGCATTTGCATGCTTTTGAACCGCTAGGTTGGCAGGAGCTGGGACAAGCAACGGGCGCTCACTCCGTCACGTGGATTTGATCTTACAGCTGAAGATCTACAGACCTTACAGCACAGAGGCTTCTGCAGTTTAACCCACAGTGCCACCACATCCCATTCTCCCACCTAGATCTACCCAAATCACTCATGGAGAGAAAGAACAAGAAACTGGGCCTTCTCGGCAGTGGCCCCTTGCCTCTGGAACAGTCTGCCTTCAGAAATATGTCCGGCTCCGACTTCCGGCTTGACGTCGCGACAAGACAGCAGCAGGAGGATAGAGCTCTGTCCTCTGGGCTGAATTCTGACCCGTTTTGGGACACAGTAGAGTGTCGGAACCACCCTGGAGGGGTGGTGAACTGGGGGAGAAAGCCTGTTGATCACGGGGGGCGGCGGCCACCCCAGTTCGATCCAGGAAACTCCCTAATCAGCCAA